TTTATACTTGATTCTCTTCTATAGAAACTTCAGAAATCATTATTCATAATAAAAGGAACTTTAATTGCTCAAAAAATAGAAAATATAAAGTACACTAAAAAGTAACTTTGAGTTGTAGGAGGTAAGGAGAAACTACTTTTTCCCCTAATAACGTAGGTATTTTAAGAAGTCGTCAAACCTTTGAAATATCTTTCAAGGAATCTTCCTACTAACTGGAAATTAGGAGTTAATTTCCTCTTTTATGGTGTCTTACATTTTGATCATGTTACATTTAATTAGTAAATGCTTTCGTATCATCGATATGTCACTTTATCTACAATCGCAGTATTATCTTACAAGGAAATTTTTCTTGGTCACATGATAAGGCAAATGTATTGGTGAGATGATTAAAGAAACTAAGCTTACGAAATATCTTGTTTTCACCTATAGGCTCTTCCATATATAATGTTGCTACATCTTTCCCGACCTACTCCACATCCTCCAAAGGGACCCGAATCTGGAGAATAGACTCAATTACTTAAGAACTTGCCTATCCTATAGCCTATCCAGCTTTGATAACGATTGCGTTTGCTGCGCTCTCATCACATTGTCCAAGTGGTGTATCAACAATGTTTTTCTTTGCGGGAAGCTAGCGGCAAGATCTACTCATCTTAAGTCAATGTGCAGGTTTGTTGAAACTAATTTCAGAGCCAAACAACTGTAGTCATAACGGAGAAATATGTCTTGTTGTCTAGATGTAGAGATTCCTATTACTGAAAACATCAATATTGATATTTGGCTAGTGTTCTTGCGTAAAGTTTTGAATATTTGTAATGAGTTTGTATCTCATACTCCCTCCGTCCCTATTTACTTGTCCATATTTCCTTTTTTAGTTGTCCCTATTTAGTTGTCCATTTTGACAAATCAAGAAAGGACAACAAATTTTTTCCTATTATACCCTTATTTACACTTTTTGAAAATTGTAAAAGTGTATGTTGTTTCCCTCCAATTTATTTCACTTTAATTCAAATAAGTGGTTGTAATTTTGAAGTGAAAAATTGTCATAAGGGTAAAATTGTAACTTCACTGTGCTAATCATTGTTGCCTTAATCTGTGTGCCATTTCTAAAGTGGACAACTAAAAAGGGACGAAGGGAGTATATCTTTAGTATATTCCTAAAATATATATTGAAGAGCAAGAATACTTTTGCATGAATATATGTTCCAGGATTCAGTAGAATTATAGTTTTCATAACGCCAATTTACAACTCAACTTAGTAATATATTTGAATTCTACTAACATAAAATATAAATCAACCTCAGTCAAAATGACACGTGAATTGCCCATGTAGGATGTGTACATCTATTTGTGATATTCAAAGTTGAACGACATGGTATAATTGCATAGAAGTAGAATGGAATTGTTTGTTTATTAATGAGTCTCCAATAGAAGTTTTATATTATACAACGCCAACAAAACAAATTGTGCAAACCTAACTTCTAGAAAATAGGAACCGATAAACTTACGTGACCTAGCAACAAAACAAATGCGAGAAATTGGGATAATCATGTTATAAAATATTCAGTAGAAAGACAGAGAATAACCAAAAAATGTATCGAGCAAGTGTGTTTTATTATACTGCTGCAAGCTCTCTTTCTACAAGTGAGTTACAACGACTAAGTGCAGAAAAATAGGAACCAATGTAACTGGTAGCTTAACAATTGCTAAACAGTTAAAGATAAAATATTCTACTAAGTTACCTACTGCAAATCAAACTCTAGAAACAGAACTACACCTACGAAATAGAAATCTACTGCCAACAAGCTCCTATAAATTAGGATAGCAGCTAACAAAATCACTTATTTTAACATTTGCTCCCTTAAACTGATGTTCTCGAACATTCAGTTTAATTCTCAGAAGTCTGTTACACATAAGTACAAACTCCAAGTAATATCCTAAGCTTCACAAATGATGCATGTTTGAGGGATTTTGTGAAAATGTCAGCGATCTGATCTTCATTTCTGCAGTAGACAAGATCAATTACTCCATCTTCAGTGAGATCTCTTAAAAAATGAAACCTTACATCAATATGGTTGCTTTTCCCATGAATTACTGGATTTCTGGACAACTTTATAGCAGAACTGTTGTCGCAATAAATTGTTGTTGCTTCTTGTTGTTTGAAATTCAGCTCAGTAAGAATATTTCTTAGCCAAATGGCTTGCGAGGCACATGCAGTAGCAGCAACAAACTCAGCTTCAATTGTTGACAAAGTGACGATTGGCTGCTTATTTGATGACCATGAGACTGCACCTGAACTCAACATAAACACCTAACCTGAAGTACTCTTCCGATCATCTAAATCCCCAGCATAATCACTATCAGAAAAGCCAATCAATTCTGTATTTTCATCCTTCTTGTAGAACAACCCAAAGTCGATAGTACCTTTCAAGTATCGAAGGATCCTTTTTGCAGCCAAAATATGCAATTCTTTTGGATTCTCCATGAATCTACTAATGAGACTTACATCATGTCTGATGTCTGGCCTTGTTGCTGTCAAATACATCAGACTTCCCACAATTTGCTTGAAAAAAATGTCATTGATCCTCTTTCCTCCAAGATCCTTTGTAAGCTTCAAGCCAACATCTGAAGGTGAAGTGATGGGATTGCAATTTCTCATTTGAAACCTGTCTAAAATTTCTCGCACATACTTCTTTTGAGAAATAAATATTCCTTCAACTGATTGCACTATTTCTATGCCAAGAAAGTAATGCGACATTCCAAGATCAGACATATCAAACTCAAGCATCATAGACCTTTTGAACTTTTCAAACATGACTCTATCATTACCCGTATAAATCAAATCATCTACGTATAAGCATACCAACAATATTTTCCTTCCATCTTCACACTTTGTATAAAGAGTATGTTCATATGGACATTTTTGAAAACCTTCCTTTTAAAAATAAGCATCGATACGACTATACCAAGCTCTAGGTGCTTGTTTTAGTCCGTATAGAGCCTTCTTCAATCTGCAAACTTTGTGCTCTTCATCAATCTTAACATAACCAGGAGGTTGTTCAATAAATACCTGTTCTTGTAAGTCTCCATGTAGAAAAGCCAACTTCACATCCAATTGACAAATAGATCATGAATTTTGCGCAGCCAATGCCATCACCAATCTGATTGTATCAAGTCTGACAACAGGAGCGAAAACTTCTCTGTAATCTACCCCAAATTCTTGTTTGTAGCCTTTAGTCACCAACCGTGCCTTGTACTTGTCGATCTCTCCATTCTCATTCAGTTTAGTTTTATAGACCCATTTTACTCCAATCATTTTGTGTCCATGTGGTAGATCAGCAAGCTCCCATGTATCATTTTTTTCAATGGCTGCAATTTCATCATCCATTGCCTTACGCCATTTTTCATCTTTGACAGCACTTTCAAAATTTGTTGGATCATAATCTGAAAAGAGAGCAAAATGAGTGAGAGGATCTTCGGATTGATCAATTCCTTTTACCTCGTAATCTGTCATCCACGCTGGCCTTCTTCGAGCATGAGGGGCACGTGAATCAACTATAGTTTCTCTCTGCTCATCCATAACATGTGATGTTTCAGAACTTCCAAGATTGCTATCTTGAGCATTTTCAGGGACTACTACTGCTGGAACTTGCTGTTGAGGCTGAATTGCTTCTTCACCATTTTCTCCATCAAGGCATATTGGAATTTGTTCTCCTATGGCATTTTTGTTCCACGACCAAAACTGATTTTCATCAAAGACGACATCTTGACTAACTAATATTTTCTTAGTGTTAGGATTATAAAGCTTGTAAGCTTTTGATTGATCACTAACACCGAGAAAAATACATTTTTCTCCCTTGTCGTCTAGCTTCTTTCTCTTTTGATCAGGAATATGGGCATATGCAATGCACCCAAAGATTCTGAAGTGATCTACGGCTGGTCGTTGCCCGCTCCATGCTTCTTCCGGAGTCATGTATTTAACTGCAAATGTGGGGGGCATCTATTTAGGATATGAATAGTCCAATTGACTGCTTCAGGCCAAAAGCTTCTTGAATTACCACTGCTTGTCAAAATACTCCGCACCATATTCATGATAGTGCGATTTTTTCTCTCACATACTCCATTTTGTTGGGGCAAGTAGGCTGCTGTAAGTTGCCTTTTGATTCCATGAATCTCACAGAAGTTTGCAAATTCATGTGAGTTATATTCTCCCCCACGATCTGAATGCAAAGCTTTTATTGGGTTACCGATCTCTTTTTCAACAAGTACTTTGAAGCTTTTAAAAGCTTCAGATTTCACCTGTAGAAAGTATACCCAACTTTTCCGAGTAAAATATCAATGAAGGTAATTATATAACTTTTACCTCCATTAGAAGATGGTGTTATTGGTCCGCAAATATCGGAATGGACAAGTTCCAGTGCCTTCTTTGCTCTCCATGAACCCCTTGGTGGAAAAGAGTTGCGAGACTGCTTGCTAACAACACATTCTTCACAAATTTTAGATGGAGCTAAAATTTGAGGAAGACCAATCACCATATTTTTCTGTTGCAAGGTCCTTAATCTAGCGAAATTAAAATGCCCAAAACGAAAATGCCACAACCAAGCATCATCTTATTGTTTTGTTAAGAAGCATGATTGTTGTATATTATTGAGATACAGAGGAAACATTTTGTTTGCAGTCATTTTAACTTGAGCAACTAAGCCTAAATTGTCATCTTGAATCCGACAAAATCCATTTTTAATGATAATCTCATATCCTTTCTCTTGCAATTGACCGAGACTCAAAAGATTTGATGTTAACTCTGGAACATAAAGGACATCAGTGATTATTTGAGGAATATCTCTTTTAGTTTGAATGGTTACCTGTCTTTTTCCCGTGACTGCAATTTTTGAATCATTTCCGAACTTCACAGAATCCTGATATGACTCATCTAATATGGAGAAAGCTGACTTGTTTCCGCACATATGATTGCTACAACCCGTGTCTAAGTACCATATATTCTGCTAAATTTCCTTCGTCGCTTGTTCTTTCTCTTGATAGGCCATTAACAGAGAGATCTCTTCTTCCTTTTCTGCAAAATTAGACTGCCGTCCACCATCTCTATTCAAGTTAGTTCTACATTCTGATTTATAATGGCCATACCTGTGACATCTGTAGCATTCAATCTTTGACTTGTCAACTGACTTTGGCTTATAATCACCTGAATTATTATTGTTGTCAAAGCTTCTTCCCCTTCCTTGAGAATTTGAAGATTTTTCTTCAAATTTCTGGTGCGAGTGCCTCTCACCACCAGAATTGTTTCCTCTTCCTCTTCCACGACCACCACCTTTTGAAGAGTGATAGTTGGATGAGACTTGAAGAGCTTGTTCCTTGCTACTTTGTCGATTAATTTTCTGCTCATGAATCAATAGTGAACTCTGCAATTCATCAATTGAAAGTTTAGTAGTATCTTTCGATTCCTCAATTGAACAAACAACATAGTTGAATTTTGATGTCATGGAGCGAAGAATCTTTTCAATAATGGTGACATCTTCCATCTTTTCACCATGAATCCACATTTTATTTGCTATTGCCATAGTCCTTGAGAAGTAATTTGAAATTGATTCTCCCATCTTCATTTGTAATGTCTCAAAATCAGCTCGAAGTGTTTGCAATAATGCCCTTTTTGCCTTCGTCGTTCCCTGATACTTCTTCTTCATGGAATCCAATATTCGTTTAGAAGTATCTTTGCAAAGAATAGTCTCCAATATTGAGCGATCAATAGCTTGGAAAAAATAATTCTTTGCCTTAAGATCTTTCAACCTTAGACTGTCCAACTCCGCCTTTGTACTTCCGACAAGGCGGTACCAGCCACTGGCTCTTGAACACCAGTACTGACAACTGGCCAGAATTCCTTGGACCTAAGGAAATTCTCCATCAGCATGTTCCAATGGTCGTAATGACCATCGAAGCGTGGAATAGCAGGCTGAACAAAATTCTTAGAGGTCATAGTTTTTGCTATTGCAATAGTACTGCAAAAAAAAACTCTCAATATGCAGTACCAACACTTATACTCGATATCAGAAACTCTCTTTCTGGCTAGGATACCAAATGTTATAAAATATTCAGTAGAAAGACAGAGAATAACCAAAAAATGTATCAAGCAAGTGTGTTTTATTATACTGCTGCAAGCTCTCTTTCTACAATTGAGTTACAACGACTAAGTGCAAAAAAATAGGAACCAACGTAACTGGTAGCTTAACAATTGTTAAACAGGTAAAGATCAAATATTCTACTAAGTTACCTACTGCAAATCAAATTCTAGAAATAGAACTACACCTACGAAATAGAAATCTACTGCCAACAAGCTCCTATAAATTAGGATAGCAGCTAACAAAATCACTTATTTTAACAAATCATGCAGGCATAACAAAGAATGCTCCAACTAAACCAATAAGACGATGGCAGTAATTAACACATAATATTATGTTAGCTTAGAGTACATAAAGGCGAAGCTATAAAAATGTTAAACTATTGGACAAGGCGAACACACAATCAATAGATATTTTTCTTTTTTTTTTTCTGGGTTCAACAATCAGTAGATATAAATAAATAGCCAGATTGAGAAAAAGAAACCGCCTCAAAAAAAGTAAAGTGTCACAGGAAAAGAGAGGAACCCTATTGAGGTTCACCTGATCTACAAAATTCCAGAGCATGAAGGTTTAAAGGCAATAAATTTAGAATAGAACTGCTACTCCACCACTAAAGCTCAAGCTAAAACGGCTAATGCAAACAATACATGCTAGACATCTATGACCCTCATCAATTTTCATGTGATACATTATATTATCTGATAATGCAGAGACACTAAAATCAAGAAAAATGAGAGACATATTATATGTAAGCTACATACATTAGAACATGGAGACCGTCTTCTATGTCCAATTAAGTCTTGTTATTCATATGTAATATGAAGCTACTCCGTAAACTTTAAAGTAGAACTTCGTATTACCATAGAACACCAACAATCGTTTCATATGATCTCACATGACAAATTTTGAACACCTACCAAAAAAGATGAATAAAAGAATTAATTTGTACTTTTAGCGAGTCCCCTCAAAATACAACCATCATTTATATGTGAAGAAGAGAAAACTAACTTTCAAAAAATATCATCATAGAGCATGTAAATCACCATCACATCCGATTAAGTTCTTTTTATTAAACTTGTGAACTCCATGGGAGAAGTTTCTATTAACATACAACACCGACAGGATGAAAATACACTTTATATTGCAGCACTCGTGTAACACCCCGTATCCGAAAATAGAGATTTCAGATTTCTGGTGTTATAGGTGGCACTCACGGACACCATCCACGGACCGTAGATGGACTCACGATCCGTCCTGTAGGTCCGTGGTTAGTGACAGAAAACTTCCCCAGAACTCAGTCAGAAAATTTGGCTAAGTCCCGACTCACGGACAGACTCACGGACAGACTCACGGTCAGTAGATCAGACCACGATCCGTGGTCTATGTCCGTGGATCGAGACTTCCCTTACCCAGCCTCTGACACAAACTACGGTCGACCAGCATAGATCGTCATTCAATCCACGGTCCATAGGTCTGACCGTAGATGAGGGTCAGCAGCCAGTTAGCTGAAAAATATTGATGGGTCAACTTCAGATGGTCATAACTCTTAGCACAAAATGAATTATGTGCATGACCTATGGTTAGATAGATAATTGAATTATCTTTCCAACGCCACCGAGTTTGCTAAATTCCGACCTCCGAGTAAAAAGTTATGCCCGTTTTAGCGAAGCCCTGTCAGGCAGACTCGACCTACGGACCCAATCGACGGACCGTCGATTGATTGACGGACCGTAGGTCCATTCTGTCAGTCACTCCGACAGCAGTTAATTAAGGGTCTTTTGGTCTTTTCCTATTTCGTTTAACCCCTAAGATACGTCGTTTAGACCCTAAATCATGAGGTTTTAATTAGTTTAAGCCTAGAAACATAACTAGAACCTACCTAAGTCAAATTCATTAATCAAAACTTAGAAAAATTAGAAGCAAGAGAGGAGAAAAAAGTCAAGAACCCTAGTTCAAGAACGCAGCGAGGTTTCTTCAGTTCCAGCCCCAAAATCGAAAGATTTCTCCGTGGAATTCGTCACCAGGTATGTGGAATTTCACTTGTGGGTTCCTTTCGCCCATTAGGTCCCTAGAATTCAGTCAGATTCTTGATTCCATGATTATGAACAGACCTAGGGTTTCTAGAATTTGAACAGATCATCATGAATTAATTATTTAAATGTTCCAAATCAGATTATCATGTTGTTGCTCAGTTTATTGCATGAATTTCAGAACTCTAGCTATGTATTTCTTTAGTTCTTGAATTACACATGCTAGGTTAGATATTTCAGTATTCAGTTATACATGTCTCAGTTTATGAATGCATCATTATCAGATTAATTGTTGCATTCTCAGTTTGCATATTCAGTTCGAGCTATCCAATAACTTACAGAAATTCAGTCATAATGTTTTAATTACTTAATTCATTGGGAGTAGCATAATACCGAGTTGGACTACGGTTTAGTGTACCCATATAGTCCCAGAACTACAAACCACATAGGTGTAAGTCCTCTCTGTGGGCAACATCAGTTTAGTGATCACGCCAGTCATGCCTCTATACCTTTGACCGGGTATATTGGGTCCTCTCAATGGGGCGTATACATCGGACTCCACATTTAGCTCATGTGGTTTTATGTCGGTTATTAGTAGCTCCCACAGTTCAGTTAGACTCTATTGCATTGACCACATTTACAGTTCATTCAGTATTCAGTCAGCATGTTATAAATTGGTCATTGCATTCAGTTAGCTCAGTATTCAGTATCTATATCATGTTCAAATTATTTCATTGCTTTATTGCTTTGTTCAGTTATATGTTCTTTCAGCTTTACTCTATCCTGCCTGCTCAGTACCTTTCAAGTACTGACGCATACGTGCGCTACATCTTCTCGTGATATATGTTCAGGTTCTCAGTATCCAGATCACACTTAGATCGGTTCTCGATCTTCAGTTCAGCAGCATCAGTGGTGAGTCCTCATTCTTCGAGGACTAGTGACATGTTTATCTTTATCGCTTTTAGTCTTTAGTTTCAGTTTTGCTAGATCTAGTTGGGGCATGTCCCAACATTTCTAGTCAGTTTAGAGGCTTATTTCAGACATAATTAGATTCAGCTTAGTGTTTTGAGTTTGATATTTCTTCTGTATTAAACTCTCAGATTTAGTATATTCAGTTATAGTATATGGGTATTCCCCATCTTTTCAGATTTATTTATGAATTAGCTTCCGCATCAGTTTATTATCTTTAGTATGCTCATGATCATGCCAGCAGGGTTAGCTTGGATCACTTGTGGTCCTAAGTCCCGTGTCCGCATCTTGGGGGTAGCTCGAGGCGTGACAAACTTGGTATCAGAGCATTAGGTTTAAGTGTCCTAGGATCTCTGAAAAGCTGCACTAGGTAGAGTCCTTTTCATGGGTGTGTAGTGCGCACCACATCTAATGAGAGGGAGGCTACAAAGTGTCTTTAGGAAAAATCTTCATTTTCTTGTTACTCTTATCGTGCGTAAGGTATGATATAATTCCATTCTAACTCGACGTTCTACGTTTCAGTGATCATGCCTCCTGGTAGAGCTAACGCCAGGAATGCGAATGCTAGGAACGCAAATGCAGCTCCTCCAGTTCCATATCAGGAAGTCTCAAATGCTGAATTCAGGAATGCCATTCAGATGTTGGCTCAGAGTGTCGCTAACCAGAACAATCAGTAGGTTCAAGCTCCTGTGAATGCAAATGGTGGATCAGCAGCAATAAGGGTCCGTGACTTTGTTAGGATTAATCCTCCAAAGTTCTTAGGATCGCAGACTGGTGAAGATCCCCAGAATTTCTTGGATGAGATCAAGAAGATCTTTGAGGTGATGCAGGTCACTGGGAATGATCAGGTTGAGTTAACATCTTACCAACTTAAGGATGTAGCTCATATCTGGTATACTCAGTGGAAGGAGAACATGGGTACAGATGCTGCTCCTATTACTTGGGAATGTTTCAGCGAAACCTTTCTAGACAGGTTTTTCCCTATAGAGTTGAGAGAAGCAAGGGCCCAGGTATTTATGAACTTAAGGCAGGGTAACATGACTGTCCAAGAGTATGGGCTCAAGTTTAACCAACTCTCCAGGTATGCTCCTCACATGGTTGCTGATTCCAGGGCTCAGATGAATAAGTTTCTCTATGGAGTGTCAGACTTAGTGAAAACAGAGTGCAGGAATGCTATGTTGTTAGGAGACATGAACATCTCTAGGCTCATGACTCATGCTCAGCAGGTTGAGGGTGATAAGCTTAGGGAACAGGCTAAGGAGACTAAGAAAGCAAGAACAGGTAACTACGAGTATTCCCACCAGAAATCGGGTGGTGGAAACCGCTCGCATTTTCAGTAGAAGTCTTCGACTCCAGCCCCTTCATCAGCTAGTGTTCCATCCCCCAGGTTCCGTAATGATCAGAAAGGTAGGGCGTCAGGCTCTAAGTCTCAAGGTAGTGTTTCAGGCACCAAAACCTACCCAACTTGCCCTGAAATGTAGTAGGAACCATCCGGGCGAGTGCCTTGCAGGTAAGGAAGGATGCTTTGGGTATGGCCAGTATGGTCATAGATTGAAGGATTGTCCTTTAAGACAAGGTCAAGGAGGAAATAATGGTAGAGCTCAGTCTACAACTTCAGCAGCACCAGCAGGTCGCCCGACTCAACAGGGTAACTCTGGTACTGGTGGCGGACAGCTCCAAAACAGGCTTTATGCTCTTCAGGCTCGTCAAGATCAGGAAGATTCTCCTGATGTAGTCATTGGTACATTACGAGTCTTTGATCTTGATGTTTATGCATTGTTAGATCCAGGGGCTACTTTGTCTTTTATAACTCCTTACATAGCAGTCCAATTCAGTGTTAGTCCAGAAACTCTTTCAGA